TTTGAGTACAAATTGTCAATCAATCAATTAATAATGCATTTTTCAGAATTGTACGTATAACTGATGTCTACGTTCGATTAAAGTAGTAGGTAGTTTGTCATTTATGTCTTTTATAATAATCGTGTTTATTTACAAAATCAACTATCGACATAAGTAGGGCATTTTAAAAACACACTGCGATTTTTGCTGATAAACACTTTGACTTCTCTATCGTATCTTGGTATAAAATGTTTATACTAATTCAGCTTCCCATGTTAATCATACCCTTCAGTTACTACCACCACCTATTTCAAAAATGTAAGTGAGTTAATATCTGCTTTGATAGATATAGATTCCCAATTAATGCAGAAAGGATTTTTTACAAATATCTTCGGAATGGTGGCCAATTATTCCTTATTTATACAGTGTGTCCCCGGATTGACTTCCCTATTTATGTCAATGTGTAATTGAAACTTGAAACTTTGATATATGCCTGGCGTCGCCGCCTCTCCCAGGATTTAGTCAACTGTCGTGAGGATGCGTCCCTGGTAGACACTATCAGGGACGTTTCTCCACTACTTTGTTGCCATCGCGCTGGGCCGCGACATATGCCAAACAATGTGGTGGATTTTGTGGATTGGGGGGGTTGTGAAGGGGTGGCTAACTGGGTGTTATCCGACCCGAACGGGTACGGCCACAGCTTCGCCACTGGTATTCTGCCTTAGAGGGAACTCTGCTTTCTAGTGATAGCTTCTTCTCCGGGCGTTCATTGGCTTCCGATGTTCCTATCCTTTGGTCTCATTCCCTTCCAAGTTTTCCCTCGTGTTAGGCCCTTTTTATTGTTGTCCTCTCCCTGCGTTACTTTCTGCCCCCTTTTCCTCCTCCCCTTGGCTACTTGTCCTTGTGGCTGATTCTTCCTCCACCTCCAGTATTCTTCTGCTTTCTTTCTTCCTTTGATGTTTGTCTCTGCTCTTATCTTCCCATGGTAATCCCCGAGACATCTACCGTTTGGTTTATGGTGGTGTTCCATGTTTGGCAGGGCCGGCCTACCTTCCATTCCGAGGCACATAGAATCTTGGTAGCCCGGATGATATGGTCTTTATTCCTCCTGTTGGTATGTCCCCAGCGTCTCATCTGCCTCATCTTCAGTCTCCTGGCAATCGGCTTTCCCTCTAATAGTTCTCTTCTCTGCTTTCTTGTGAGGTTGCTGTTTTCTTCAGTATCCTGAGTGCCTTCCACTCCGCCCTCCTCAATGTTCGTCTGTTGCTCCTTGTTGGCGCTGAAGTGTTAATTGCGTATAAGATTGTTGGTGCTATGATCGTGTTGTAAATCATTTTCAAGCTGTCCGGTATTTTCTTTTCTCGTAAGAAGTTCCAGATTCCGTGTGTGATTCTGAATGCGTTGGTTATTCTGTCTTTCACTGCGTTGTGCCTGCTGAGGGTGCTGCTTATGTACATACGTTCCCATATCTTTGATCTTGTGCTTCATGGTTATCTCCTTCCCGGCTATGGTCTTCTCTCCTTCTTTGTACTAGGGGTGTTGTTTCCTGGCACTCTTCTCATCATGTAGCTCTTTTCGTTGTATATTTGTAGGTCCACCATTTCCGGGTGTACCTGGTACCCCGTTGGCCTGGACGAAGTCCTTAGTGTCTTATAAATTATCCGCGATTACGAGTAGATCGTCCGCGTACGCCAGTAATGTCGATAGTTGTAATTGGCCGCCTGTGCTAAGGTTCCTCACCACCATCCTTGTTTGTTCTATAGCGTGGTCAAGTGCTATCGCGAATAGCCTTGGAGAAACGGACATCCTTGTTTGATCCCCCTGGTTTTCTTTTGGTGTTCGGTTTTCTTCCAAAACCATTGTATACTAGTATACTCCCTTTGCCACGCGTGTATGGTTCTGTTGATTAGGAATTTGGGTAGTCCCAGCATCGCCCACGATGTCATTGGTATATATTTTCTGTTTCCCCCTTGTTTCCTCCTTTTATATTTTCTGATGTGCCTATATCATTTCATTTGCGTATTCCTCTCCATTCGTCTGAGTTTGGCGATGTTCTCCGCGAACTCGGCGAATTCCTTGATTTCGCGTTGCTCATAGGCTCTGTTTTCTTCTTCCTTGGCTTCCCTTAGCTCCTTCTTTGTTTCAGGTTAGTGTGGGTTTTGGCCCGTCACTGTTCGCTCACATGGGCGGTTTCTGTTTCCCTAGTGTTTTCCTTGTTGCTTCTTTGATCGTTTCGCCGATCATTTCCAATATGGTATCCCTTCCCCTTTTTGCTTCTAATCTTTTACCACTCCTTTCGGTACTCCTTTCTTTTCTTCTCCCCTGACAGAAGTTTCACATCCCACCCTTCGGTTTCCCCGCTGTGCTCCTTGTCCTTTCCTACCTGTTCTTTTCTTCCCCTCCCCCCCTCTTTACTTTCCCCTTTACCATTTTGTGGTACGATCCTACTGTTTTTGCCCATATGTCTGCTGTGTTCGTGACGCTTATTTCCTTTGATTTCGTCCTTGTTATGTGGTCAATCAGCGATTCAATGTTTCCCCTCCTACATGTTACCATTTTGGACTTGCCGAATATGTTTGCTAAGTACCTATTAAAAACGCCGGTATTTGATGTACTGGCTGGCGGTATTTGGAAGCTATCCAGTACACTGGGTATTGATAACCAGCACGTTTATATATGTACATGCAGTACTGTTGCAACAGCACTATTTAGTACTGAATCATATACACAATCAGCTTTTTGTTAACTACGAGGATGTCTTGCACTGGCTACGGTTTAAATGCCGCTAACCAGTACAAGAGAAATTGATAACCAGGTTATAAACAAACAGCAGTACCATTTAGTAGTGCTTAAGGACTGATTAAATGTGTGTTCAGTTTTCTGATACCTTCGGGACTATTTACCTTGTAAATATCGCCAGCCAGTACTGGGGATATTGATTTACGGTACATAAATAAGTAACAGTACGATTTTGTACTTCCTAGTAAGCAGTAATTTGTTAAGGAAGGAGGAGCGGAAGTGAGAGAATGGAAAAAGGACGAAGCAGACACACGTTGCTTTTTAGTGGTCATTTTTAGTGTATGGCAGTCAGCCGTTTGTTTTGGAAAGACAGTCAGTCTCTGTGATAATGAAGTTGCTGTTGAAGCAATTTTGAGTGTCGTTCTTGCAGTAATCGCATGTGAGAGCATTTCTATAAGTGCTTGTTAAAAACCAAAAATAACCACAATTACGTCTAAGCTAGTGGTATTTCAATCAAGATTAAGGCGAAAGTAAAGAACTGAAGTTATAGAAGCATCATCAGCTTGGTGTTTGTGTTCCTTGTGTTCCATTTAAGATGAATCGCACTTGACCGGATGTTAAGGATGATTAACTTTAAGGTAATTAGAATTTTCGTTTAAATTCAACTTGTTTCTATCGATCGCTTGTGCGTGGTATTTGATCGTTAACCCTGAGCGCCTATTTTTCTTTCAGCTTTATTGATTGATTTATGTCGTATAAATTTGTTTTATTTGTAAATGGTTAGATTTGTATTTAATCGAGCCTAAATGACGACCTAGATAAGAGATCTCATGTCAAATTTTCTATTCGTGTCCAGGAGTTAATTCAAAATTTGTTAAATAATCCTTTGCAATTGTGGAAGTGGTCAAGGCTGCTAAGTTTCTCAAATTGATCAAATTAAACTCTTATCGAGATTTTTCGTAATATATCATGATGCCGGACCCGCCTTGGGTCATTTTCGCATGCAATATTATCATATGTGCATCTAATGTTTCCGAAAAAAATCGGAAAAACACGTTGCTAAGTAGATAATATTTTAACAAGAAGCATGAGTGCTGGTGTCAACAAAAATCCGAGTTGAAGACGCATACAACGTGTCCCAACGAATAATTCGACCTTCCTTATCTGTAAAATCAAGCATTTTTCGGTGAATTTCCAAAACAGGGAGAGATAGAAGGATATTGTTTGGCGGATCTTGCTTCCAAAGTGTTGGTGAGAGGGAAGTTAGCAACAAAATTTCAAAAATTCGTATCTCTTGAACGGATGGTGCTGCTGATCTGAAGTTTGGAGCAGGATGCGAGCACTGCGCAGCACTAGTAGAATGATGTTTGAGTGATCCTGCTTCCAAAGTGTTGCCAACTTCCCTCGCCTGTCCTTAAGCAGTACTAAATGGCACTGTCGTTTGTTTATATCATGGTTATCAATTTTTCGTGTACTGGCTATAGCGGCATTTGGACAGTAGTAGCCAGTACAAGGCAAAATAGTACTGTTGTGTAATAATATGCTGTTTATCGATACCCAGTGTAATGGTTAGCTTCCAAGTCAATGGGCCATTTTGTATTTGCACAGTTACATCGTCAGTTTCGCCTATGTATATGAGTCATGAGGTGTAGGATACCTACAATATTTATTATATCGCTATCTTAAATCTAGATGATAGATTAAAATATCTCCGTTTTAAAATGTTTATGCATTGTTTAAATATTGACACAAACTTAGCGGTCCTTTGATCCATGATTAAACAGATTCTTCGGGCGTCGCCCCATCGACCTACTTGATAGCCCATTTCGTGATCATTCAAAAAAGTATTGACACTATTGACAGTAGGAAACAAGTTTCTAAAAAATGGCAAGTTGACAACAATTTTTCATTGAATAAAAGAAGTAGTCGAGTATTTTCTGAATTGGTTACAATAAAAATATAACGGTAAATGCGGCGACCTTTAATCGCACCTTGAGAAAGAAAGATTAAATAAGATTATTTCTTTATTAATGTTTGTAAAAAATCACCTTGCAGATTATTCGAGCGATTTTTGGGCCTATTTGAGAAGTCCGAAACGAGCGCGGTGCGCAATCGGCGAAAGGTCAGGTCGCATTAAAGTGGCAACAAAAAAAATGTTTATAAATGTACGCTACGATAATCATCTAAACAAAGAAGTTTTGCTAGTATTCAGCCTTGTAGTCGTGTACATTCGCTCGCAATCGCAGTGTGCTTAGAAAATGCGGTTTTAGCTAAGCTTACTTTGATAGCGTACTTTTCATTCGCAGCTTTTAGTTCACGATCAAGTAGAATTGCGCACGCCCGCTAGCGCGATATACGAACGCAGAATCCCGTTATCTTGGCGATTGTTGAACATAATTAAGAACTACTTAATTGCATCACTGAGATGCACGTCTAATTGTTCGGCAATTTTTATTCAATCAGTTTGTGTGACATTATCGTGTAAAGAATTCAGTGATTTTCTATTTTAAGTGTACTCAGTTAAGTGACGGATTTTTTTTTGAAAAATTATTAACAGTGAGTGTTGTGATTGTTGTGTGTACGATTTTTTTGGATTACTTTCATTTGGATAATGCATTTAAGGTAAAATTTTCAGTTTTTTATTGTGTACTTGTACAGGTGAAGAAAACGCGCGAAAAATATTTCGAATTGAACTTCGCACGTTTAGATAGAGCGCGTTTACTTCGCTAACGGTATATCAACCTTTATTAGTAAATAATTTTATAAAACGCTTTCTCCACGTCTGACAAGCGAAAGTTGTGAAAATTCGCCGAAATTTCTCGCCGACTGGTTTTTTAACGACATATTTTTATAACACTGCTAAAAGTAAAAATGCTCAAAAAAATTTTGAAAATTCAATACGCGTGTTAAATAGCTTTAGGCGAGGCTTTAGATTCAATAATTACAAATCGACACCCTACCCTTTTTTTGCATACAAACGTGGGGCCATAGAAAATTGCTAATAAAGTTCAATTTTCGAAAATGTGATCAACTCCATTAAAAAATTAGAGAAAACTATTATCAGATAAGACAGGCAAGTGCGAAAGTAAAACATTTATTCAACAGTCTGCATGGGTAACTGACCGTGTCGTATACGTAAAGACACTTTCACCCATTATTTTCGCGAAGCGTTAGATTCCAGTTTACATTAAAAATTTATATTTATTCAAATGAAATAATGTAATCGAGGAACGAAAAAAACTGTGAAAACTTGAAAATAAATCTTGGAGTAGTTCCAAACAAATAACAATATATATTTAAATGTAGGAAGGAGTTCGTTAACATCAGTTTTTCGGCTCGTTATTGTTTTTATTTAAAACGATAATTTCGAGGATAATTTTATCTTCATTTAAATCGTGGGCAGTTTTCGACTATCTCAGGAACCGTTTCGAATTTTGAAAAAAATAAGTTTTCAATGAAAATGTAAAAAGGTTCAAGGTTGGTAGTGATTGAGTGTTATCATTTTTATAACCGTATAATGTACATCACTGAACGATAGACTATTAGATCCATTTCTACGTACGAAGCATAGATTACGAATTGATCCCAAAATTTGGAGCGGTTTCTCAAACCCTTGCAATTATTCGAAAATGATTTTTACAAATTTTAACAATAATGTGAACCCCATTGAAAGGGTTTCCTTAAAATTACTCTGGGAAGGAACTTATGTATTAATTACAAATAAATTAGAGTTAAATTTATGCCGACCGTTTTGTGCTCATTTTTTAACAATACGATTTTGAAATCGCAAGATTATCGTTAGTCATGCAAACATTTGCATATTATTTGTATTTTAATTAGTCAATTTTGTTTTCGCAAACTTTACTTTCTGTTAATTAATCTGTGCGTGAAAATTTCTCCTTTTTGTTAATGGTTTACAAGTTTGTAACACGGGATTTTTAGTTACGACCGAGGGAAAAGTAAATATGACTGAAACTAGTCACTGCGTTTTCAAACATACTTCTTTTCAGGTGTATGTTTTTTGTTTCCTTTTTAACAAGCTTTGCAAAAAAACGGTTAAAATATGCCACTTTCTCTTGAGTCTCCCCAAAATTCAATTTTTGTGAATGATTCGCAAAATACTACTGATCGGTGAAAAATTGAATCGATCGATCATATGATGCTGCATTATCTCGATGTACCAAAGAATTTATTTCTTTGTAAAAACGCCCGACACAATGCATTACCATGACTTCTAATAAGGGAGGGAATTTCATATATTTATGCGTAGTTGAATCACCCATGTCGTATTCGAATCGAATTTAACCTTGTTTTAAGTTTTAATAATAGTTATATGTTAAAACACAGTGGGTACATTACCAAATTATATTCAGTGGCCCATGTCGAACCAGGCTCTTTTTTACTGACTCGCTATTATAATTACAAGATTATATTATTAGAGGGTGTCACCTAAAACCGAGCCTAAAACTAGCATTCCTAAACAAATGGCACCGAGGTCGTTTCTTTGCTTTGGTCCCATAAATTTAAAGATGGATTTTATTGGTTACTATTTAAACCAATGGGAATTCAGTTGCTCACATGTCGAAATCACGCGATAAGTTAATTTATTTGATTTAAAAACGCTAACTTATGGCACCTTCACATTCGTTTGTACCCCGTTAGCATCCAATGCAAAAGATAGATAAAATAATAGCCTTGGTATTAGGATAGTATGAGATTAAATAAATTGCTTGTAGATCAATTTATTGCTGGTTTCCTAATACAAGAGCTTTAAATATTAGGAGTGTACCCGTAATTATTAAATGAAACTATCGATACAACTTCTTGGTATTCGGAGAGTAACAGGTTAGATAAAGTGCTTGTAGGGCAATTATTCCTACTCTCCTAATACAAGAAGCATTAAGTATTAGGAGTGTACTCGTAATTGTTAAAAGAAGATCTCGATAAAACGACTTGGTATTAGGAGAGTATGAGGCGAGGTATGAGGTTAGTAAAGTGCTTGTAGATCAATTAGTATTCTCCTAATACAAAAAAGCATCAAGTGTTAGGAGTATCTTCGTAATTATTACAAGAAACTTGTTGTTGGTATTAGGAGAGTATGAGGTTAGATCAAGTCGCGGATAAAGTGCTTGTAGATCAATTGCTAATGTCCTAATACAAGAAGCATTAAGTATTCGGAGTTTACTCGTAATTGTTAAAAGATCTCGATAAAATGACTTGGTATTAGGAGAGTATGAGGCGAGGTATGAGGTTAGCGAGGGGGAAACCACTCTTTCAATTTGGTGTACATGAATTTTTCATTCCAGTTTCATTCCATTTTCAATCTTTCAATATTATCATTATCAGTTTCATTACTTTCAATCTGTTCATTCTCTTTTCATTCTATTAATTCTAAGATTAATTCTTTTTCATTCTATTAATTCTCTTCATTTATTTTTCATTTCCTCATTTTTTCTTATTACGGTTATAAATATTTTTCATTAACGGTTTCATTATTTACAAAAACGAATAGTTCATTTTCAATTCTTACGATTTCATTCTTTCATTATTATTTCAATCTTTCATTACACACTTCAATCCTCTCATTATTTCCATTTTCAATCTGGTGTACAAATTTTAAGGAAGTGGTTTCCCCCTCGGAGGTTAGTAAAGTGCTTGTAGATCAATTGGTACTCTCCTAATACTAGAAGCATTAAGTATTAAGAGTAAACTCCTAATTTAAAAAAATGGTTAAGTATTAGGCGACTATGAGGTTTGATAAAGTGCTTGTAAATCAATTGCTACTCTCCCAATACAAGGAGAATTAAGCATTAGGAGTCCGATTAGGAGTGTACTCCTTATTTTTAAAAGAAAGTCTCGATAAAATGGCTTGGTATTAGACGAGTACGAGGGAGAGTATGAGATAAGATAAATTGCTTGAAGATCAATTGGTACTCTCCTAATACAAAAAAAGCATCAAGCGTTAGCAGTGTACTCCTAATTATTAAAAGCAGGTTTGGATAACATTACTTGGCATTAGGAAAGTATCAGATTAGATAAATTGCTACTCTCCTAATACAAGAAGCATTAATATTAGAAGTCATTTTTTCATAAGTGAGGGCCACTATACGAACATATTTGTATAAAAATTGCTAGTGACAATACTTTGTTTTAATTTTACGGAGGTGAATTATTACCTCGATTATTGAGTACTACAAATGGTATTAGGAAATGAATTTCGAGTTTGACCATAGAAGCATCATCATCACGTTATTTCCATGAAAGTGCATTTTGCATTTGTAGTTGACGCTGAGGGGGCACAAACGAATTTAAAGAAACTCGGCTAGGAACAATTGCAATGCCTAGTAACAAAAAATATAGCAATTTTATTATGTTGCGGTTCATCCCTGAAATCTGGACAGAAAGTGAGAAATTTTAGAAGTTCACCAATGACAGAAGAAATTAAAACCAGGAAAAATTCAAAGCAAGAGCAATTCCGCTCTTCTCAAGGACTCTTCAATTACTTTCCAATCCCTCAATAAAATATGCGGTGTTCCCTCGGGTATTCCATTTGAAAATAACGTGTTAGATACGCCACTTCAGTACAGTACGCCACTGGTGACCAGAAATATTTTAAAAACATGCCGACGGTAATTGTACACAATTTTACTCCTATATTTTTTTCGGTAAAGGAATTAGGGGTCTGTATTTATGCATCTGTAATTCAGGTCACAAATGTTCATATAGCAATTGGTCTTAAAACCGTTATTCATGCACAAATTTCTACAGGAGAACGCCTGAACGAATTACATCGATGCCTAATAGATCGATGTCATGCAATTTCGGTGACCACTTAGGTATGTCTTGTTTCCAAAAGAGTATTTGCGTGGTACAAAAACAGGAATTAGCTCGGGAATTAGGTATATACGAGTATGAACCGAGATATGAACATTATATTTTTCAGCATAATTTATGAATGAATGTATTGAGGGAGATTCCATTTCTGTTATGGTAATGGATTAAATTAAAAAAGTCATAAAAAAAGTAAACGCGAGTAATGAATTTTAATTATTGTAATTATATTAAAAGGTCTTAAAAAGTAAATGTAATACGTATCCCTTTTCTTACATTGCCAATTTCACTTCTTCTGCATTCTGGGATTTTTATTTTGCACATTTCACCATGATCAATGTTCATTTTATGCTTGCGCGGTTTCATTAGTGGTCCTGTACGATAAACAATCTCCGATTATCGCTTTCTCCGGAAAGATTCCTTGTCGTTTCCTGTTAATTTTTCTAGTCTTCTATAGCGATGATAAGACATACGATACGACTCTTGCAGAAATACTAATTGACATTGTTACCTCGTTTGTTACTAAGTTCTCCATAGCTAAAAATATTTGATACTGATGCAGCAGTACAGAAGAAAAAGGTACTGCAAATATTGTTTACCTTTTGATTAAGGACAAACATTGTAAGCAGAGACTAATGTACCTAATCATGGTAAAATTTCCAGAAAACGGGGGAGAGTAATAGTTATTTACATTAAAGTTAGGAAAATGATACATCACTGGCGAGAAAATATTGAAGTGCGAAACCCCTTCGGGGCCGAGTACTTTAATTTCCGAGTCAGGTAATGACATT